AAGTCCATGTTTGCTTATTGTCTTTTTATTAGTTCCAAAGATAGCATACAACTTTATCTAGTGCATTGAAGTCCATGTTTGCTTATTGTCTTGCTATTAGTTCCGGAGCAAGCAGACAACTTTATCCAATGTGTTGAAGTCCATGTTTGCTTATTGTCTTTTTATTAGTTCCGGAGCAAGCAGACAACTTTATCCAATGTGTTGAAGTCCATGTTTACTGATGTTCCAGCACAAGTAAGATGTTTTGTAAATCCAACTTCAGCTGTTCAGGACCTCTTGCCTAACCTTTTTGTAATTATTCAGCCAAAAATCAGGCCTGTAAGTATCTTTTTTTCAACTTGTGATTTTAAATATCAATATGTTAGCATATATATCTCTGGTTTTTAGTGCAAAGCTACACAATGGGCTGTCTGTATTCTGTCCGCCACAGGAAATTGAACCCTATATTTTAGCATTTTAATTCTTTAAACATACTGTTGACCTTGTGGGGAACCTTTATGTAGTTTGATTGTTAGCAAAAAATTCAGTGCAGAGCCTGTTTCTCAGACAGATGGTAAAACCCTAAGAAACATTAAGAATATATTTTTGCCTCATAAACTGCAACAATAATTTGCTTTTAAATTGACATATTTGTATTAGAGTTTTGTGATTAGTGGAAGAGAGAGTAGATCCATTAATCTTTGGGTTAATTAATCCAATACACACAACTGATTGATTATTCTTAAATGAAACTAACCTTTCTATTTTAGCTTATTTTGGATTTTTTAAACATTTTCAAACCATTTGTTCTATATGAAAGACAATAATTTAGGTTAAGTTACATTTTCAATCTTAAAAGTTTTGTATATGAAAATGTACTGTTGCGTGCCATATTTTTGATGTTTTTTTGTTCACTAGAGAAATTTTGTTTTTTCACATAAGTAATAATTACAGAATTTTTGAAATTTCATGAAAATTTGGGTTTCTGAAATCTGGAAGTTTTGTCTAGTAAATAGAAAATAAGTATGATGTAAAAATTCTGGACTGAGTGAGTTAGTTAATCAGTTCAGTGTCAGTTAGTGAGTTAGTTAATCAGTTCAGTGTCAGTTAGTGAGTTAGTTAATCAGTTCAGTGTCAGTTAGTGAGTTAGTTAATCAATTCAGTGTCAGTTAGTGAGTTAGTTAATCAGTTCAGTGTCAGTTAGTGAGTTAGTTAATCAGTTCAGTGTCAGTTAGTGAGTTAGACAGTGAGAGTTATTGTTAGTACGTCAGTATGATTTTTATTAACCGATTAGCAATTAAATTTATTTGTGAGCTCGGAATTTCTGTTCAAACCTTGTTTGTGAAACTAGGCTTATCAGTGAATGTAGCGTATAGCAAACATTGTTGAAGAAATAAGTTTTTTCGTTATTGTTACATGGACTGGACTTTGCATTTGTTTTACCAAATAATCCAAAAGAACCCACCCAAAGGTAGAAGTGACAATAGTATCATATATTAAACCTTATACGAAACCTCTAAGAAGCTAAAAATATGACTAATACCATTCCATGTGTTTCTCCCAATAAATTTGAATAAGACTACTGTACTTAACTAATTCTTTGTTAAAAATAATTGTCCTTAGATTTAATAAGGGATAAATCTAGTAAAGGTTCTTGCCACAGGGTGTGACAGATAATTTATAATTCAGTGAAAACAAATTCGTTCCAATCATAAGAAAATAAAGATAGTACAACATTTACTATTTGGCAAGAAAACTTGTGATGATACTAGATGAGCTCTTTGTAGAGATTAAAATGATTCATTCAGAGTTTTATAAGAAATGTTAAAATCACAGTAGTATGAAAAAACCTTTAATTATAAATTTTATGTACTTTTTTTATAACTTCATCAGCAGCATACAGTAAGTTTATATTTTACAGTACAGACTGAAAGAAACTGTAAAAACACACAAGTGTGATAAGAAATCAACAAATAAAACAAGTTATAACTTATTGTACAAGGCAGTGTTTAACCCTATTGCAACGGGCTTGTATTTTATACGACCTTGTAATCATGGTGAACATTCTATGACTATGAAGTATTGCCAATGGGACACATGCACACCATCGTTCGGTGACACCAATGGAACACATGAACGCCATCGTCCAGTGACACCAGTGGAACACATGCACACCATCGTTCAGTGACATCAATGGATCACATGCACACCATCGTTCAGTGACACCAATGGATCACATGCACACCATCGTCCAGTGACACCAGTGGAACACATGCACACCATCATTCAGTGACACCAATGGAAAGAGCTTTGATATGATTTGACATTCAATCTGTTGGTAAAAGAAAAGCAAAAGAGTTGTCAGTGGGTGCTGCCAGCCAGTTGCATTCCCTCTTGTCAGCATATAGCCTTAGTAATTCTACCATAATTCAAAAACAAAGAAACAAATATAATGCTCCCAATGGCTGAAAGGACAAGCATGTTTGGTGGCAATCGGAATAAAATTGGTGACCCTTGGATCACAAGGCAACAAAAACTCTAATCATTGGGACTTGCTGACACAAAGCTGATCAAACATTTATTGATTGAAAAAGTTTTAATGGCAATATTTAGATATTTAGAATAATTGGAAACAGTAATTTTGATCAATAACTTTATTATTAAATTGATTATTTTATATAACACTAATCAAAGTAATCAACTCCTGTAGGTATTGTTTAT